CAGCTTCTCAGATAATTTGCTCAACATACAGGTTGAATAAGTGTGGTGAAAGAATACAACCCTGCCACACAACTTTCTTAAATTTAAAACATTCAGTGTTCCCATGTTCTGTTTGAAAAACTGCATCTTGGTCCAGGTACAGATTCCTTATGAGCACAAGTCTTTCAGAATACTCATACTACGAAATGTTGTCCATAGCTTGTCATAATCCACACAATCAAAAGCCTTTGTGTCGTAAATAAAGCACACGTCAATATTTTTCTGATATTCTCTGCTTTCAGCCAAGATCATTCAGACATCAGCAGTGTTATCCCTCGTTCCATGGCCTTTTCTGAATCTGGCTTGAAACTCTGAAAGTTCTCTGTCAATGTATGCTTGCAGCTGTTTCTGTATTACCTTTAGTAAATCTTTACTCGCATGGGATATCAAACAGATTGTCAGATGATTTCCGCATTCCATTGGGTCACCTCTCTTTGGAATGGGCACAAATACGGATGCCTTAGTTTACCTTAAAAATTTACCTTAGAAAGTACTCTGCTCTTTCCTACTCTTGTCCTTTCCTTGGTGCTGTTCTTTCTGAGAGGTTTAGGTAATAAAAGACCCCTAGGTAGGCACAAAATAGATTGCTAACCAAAAGGTTCTACCACTCGTCCATCAGTTTGTCATATTGTGGTGGCTTGTGAGTTGCTGTGATTCTGAAAGCTATGCAACCGATATTTTAAATACCAGCAGGGTCAACCATGGTGGACAGGTTTCAGGTAAGCTTCCAGATGAAGACAGAGTAGGAAGGAGGAGTGACAGACTACTTCCAAATATTTAGTCATGGAAAACCTTAAAGATAGCAGAGAAACATTCAGATATAGTGCCAGAAAATGAGTCCCTCAGGTTGGAAAGCACTCAAAATATGACTGGGGAAGAGCTGCCTCCTCAAAGTAGAGTTAACTGTGATGACACAAATGGAATATAGCCCGTAGGAGTAAAGCCCGAGGGACCTTCATTTGCTGATGGGGCACAACTCAAAATGAAGAAAAACAGCTGTAAACATCCATTAATAATCAGAACATGAAATGTATGAAGTATGATGAATCTGGGAAAATTAGAAATTGTCCAAAAATGAAATGGAACACATAAACATCGATATCTTAGGCTAAAATGGACTGGTATTGGCCATTTTGAATCTGACAACCACATGGTTTACTATGCTGGGAATGACAAATTGAAGAGGAATGGTATTGCAGTCATTGTCAAAAAGAACATATCCAGATCAGTCATGAAGTACAGTGCTGTCTGTGATAGAGTAATAGCCATGACCTACATGGAAGCCCAATTAATACCACTAGTATTCAAATTAATGCACCATACAGGAAGAAAGCAAAAAGTCATTAAGAAAACAAGAGAGAAGGAAAGGTCAAAATGGATGTCAGAAGAGACACTGAAACTTGCTCTCCAGTGTAGAGATGCTAAAACAAAGGAAGAAATGGGGAGGTACAAGAGCTGAACAGAAAATTTCAAAGATCAGCTCAAGGAGATAAAGCCAAATACTACAATAAAATGTGCAAAGATCTGGAGTCAGAAAACAAAAAAAGAAGAACATGCTCAGTATTTCTCAAACTGGGGGAACTGAAGAAAAAATTCAAGCCTTGACTTTCATTATTGAAGGATTCTCCAGGCAAATTATTGAATGATACATAAAGCATCAAAAGAAGATGGAAGGAATATACAGAGTTGCTGTACCAAAAGGAAATGGTTAATGTTCAACCATTTCAAGAGGTACCATATGAACAAGAGCCAATGAGGATGAAGGAGGAAGTCTAAGGTACATTGAAGGAATTGGCAAAGAACAAGGCACCAAAATTGATGAAATAAAAATTAAAATCTTTCAAGAAAGTCAGGCAGCACAGGAGGCACTCACTCATCTCTGCCAAGAAATTTGGAAGGCAACTATCTGGCTGACTGACTGGAAGAGATCCTGATTTTGTGCCCATTCCAAAGAGAGGTGACCCAATGGAATGCAGAAATCATCAGACAATCTCTTTGATATCTCATGCGAGTAAAGTTTTGCTGAAGGTAATACAGTAATGGCTACAAGCATATATTTACAGAGCACTTCCAGAGGATCAAGCCGGATTCAGAAGAGGCCATTGAAAGAGGGATATCATTGCTGATGTCCGAATGATCTTGGCTGAAAGCAGAGACTATCAGAAAAATATTGATGTGTGCTTTATTGACGACACAAAGGCTTTTGATTGTCTGGATCATGACAAGCTATGGACAACATTTCGAAGTATGAGTATTCCGGAACACTTAATTGTGCTCATGAGGAATCTGTACCTGGACAAAGAGGCAGTTATTTGAACAGAACATGGAAACATTGAATGTTTTAAAACTAAGAAAGGTGTGTGACAAGGTTGTATTCTTTCACCATACTTATTCAACCTGTATGCTGAGCAAATAATACGAGAAGCTGGGTTCTATGAAGAAAAATGTGGCATCAAGATTGGAGGAAGACTCATTAACAACCTGTGATATGCAGATGATACAACCTTGCTTGCTGAAAGTGAAGAGGACTTAAAATATTTACTGATGAAGATCAAAGAGCACAGCCTTCAGTATGGATTACATCTTAATGTAAAAAAAACAAAAATCCTCACCACTGGACCAATAAACATCATTCTTATGACTGGAGTAAAGATTGACGTTGTCAAGGACTTCATTCTTCTTGGATCAACTATCAACACTCATGGAAGCCGCAGTCAAGAAATCAAATGACATATTGCATTAAGCAAATCTGCTGCACAGGACCTTTTTAAAGTGTTGAAGAGCAAAGATGTCAGCTTGAAGACTTACGGTGCACCTGACCCAAGCCATGGTATTTTCAGTAATCTCATATGCATGCGAATGCTGGACAGTGAATAAGGAAGACTGTAGAAGAATTGGCATATTTGAATTATGGTGTTGGAGGAGAATATTGAAAGTGCCATGGGCTGCCAAAAGAACCAACAGATCTGTGTTGGAACACGTGCAGCCAGAGTGCTCCTTGGAGGCCAGGATGGCCAAACTTTGTCTCTCATACTTTGGACATATTGTCAGGAGGGACCAGTGACTGGTGAATGATGTCATGTTTGGTAAGGTAGAAGGTCAGAGAAAAAGAGGAAGACCCCCAACGAGATGGATTGGCAGAGTGGCAGCATCAATTGGCTTAAGGTTGGCCCAGGATCAGGCAGTGTTTCCTTCTGCTGCGCGTAGGGTCGTTATGAGTCAGGACCGACTTGACGGTACCTAGCAACAACAACAACCGAAATGTAAGCTGTTCAAACCCATCAGCTGTACTGCAGAAGAAATCTGCTTCCCTTCAGACTAGAGTTCTACTCTGTAACTCATGGATGCAACATGAGTTGGAATCGACTTGATAGCAACTAATTAGCAACAACCGCAATAGGTTATATACTGGACTGTAACCATCCCTGGTGGTGGTGGTGGTGATGTGCCGTGGAGTCGGAGCCGACTCATAGCGACTCTGTATGGGGTTTCCAAGGCTGTAAATCTTTACGGGAGCAGAACGCCTCATCTTTCTCCCGCAGAACAGCTGGTAGTTTCGAACTTCTGAACCTTAAGGTTCGTAGCCCGATTCATAACCACTACACAACCATCCCTAGTGCACCAGAAATAAGGAAAGCCTCTGAAAAGGAAATGTCAGGAGTGTGGTTTATTGAGAATAGTTGAAGGGAATGTGAAGGGTAAAAGTTTAGATTTCACAAAACAGGGGTAGCGATTACTGTCCTGCATTGTAGTATCAAGATGAGTCTTCAAGCCTGGCATCACAGAGCATACACATCCACACAAACTATACTATGAAATTAACATTTAAAGACAAGTTTGTCTGTGGTCTCCCATGAAGCCTTAGTAATTTCCAAATACTGCTATTGCGCAGGCCAACTTTTTTTTATCTCCCTTGGGAATTATCTCCTGATTGAATATTTGAAGCAATATTTGAAAATTAGCATGGGTGAACCTTGATCCTTTGAAAAGGGATGATCTTATAGATGGAATTTCTTAAGTGGAAATAGCAAATGAATGTTTCTCAGATCATTAACTTCCCCTTGCCTTCCCAATTCAAGAAGGATCTGAAACAACAATTATCAAAATTTATTCAAAATGAAAGCAGGGTGATCAGGGTGGCAAAACTGACAAGACAATGGAATTAGAATATGGTTTAGCAGTAGACTTGTGTCCTCCACTCGCCCTGAAGGCCCTTAGAATGGTGAGTCTCCAACATGGCGAGCCATAGCAGGTTGGCTGGAATGAGGTCATGGCATTCCCAAGATGCCAACTTTTCTGGAGAAGTAAGCTTTGTCCTATATATTTTCTAACCTATCCAGCTTTATGACTGCATAGACATACCTACCTTTTCCAATTAAGTTTTATAAAAATAATACAAGGAAGCTTCAGAAACTTCATGGGACATGGAATGCAAAGAATGGAAATTTCCCCACGAACTTTTTGAAGCCCCCTTGTATTGTGCTTTAAGTTTGGGGGAATTTTTCTAATAGTACATCTTGAGGTAATTAGAGAAAGCTGAAAGTGTGGATGAGCGATACTGTTCTACAAGCTCCAATTCTTAAGTCAGGAATGAACTGAACTGTCACTGGCTAAGCAGATATCTTTAGGGTACGCAAGGGTGAGTGCTGAGACCTGCCAAGGCACTTCTCAGGTGGCCATTGCTCCTTCACTGACTTGGTCAGCACAAGGTCAAAATGGTTTCAGCCTTCATGCCATGTGAGGCTCCAAGACACCAAAGGCCTCTGAGAGTGAAATGAGTGAAGTAAAGCCCATTCTAAACTCTCAGAGCCCAGAGGACTCCTGAAATGTCATCCCATGTGAAGAAGGACAAAGAACTGAGAACTAGCTGTGAGCTTGGAGACGCCACTATAGACACAGAGGGAGTCATGGAACAAGTGTGTTCTCGGAAGGCCCAGGATAACCCTGATTTCTCTCTTTAGGCAGGAAATGGAGAAGAATTCTGCTTCCATACTATGGCCACTGAAAGAAGTTGACACTGAGGATTTCAGAGAGCTAAAACAGAACCCTAGAAGGAAGAAGAAACATGCCAAGAAACCAGATCCCCAGGAGAAGATATTCTCAGACTTGGATAATTCTTCTTGTGACCCCCAAGAGTCCCACCACAAGAAACACCCCAACCCCAAGGTGGGAGGGGAACAACATCATTTATCTCCAGACCATCTGGACATCTCTTTTGAAAATAGTTCACATGAGATCATCCCACAGTTTCCAGGCCAGTTTCAGTCCCATTGTAACAAGGACTCTAACACCTGTAAGTAATGCTGGCATCCGCTTCCTCCGAACAGGTCCTTAACCCAAGCCCTTGGAGTCAACCCCATCATGCCGTTACCACCATAGGTTCAGCAGACCCGCCCTGTCCTCATAGAACCACCCACAGCAGTAAAGGGCTGAGGAACATCGCTGAGAAGCCTTAAAGCTGTCTCTTGGCAACCATGTTCAAAAGAACCAGCATTCCTTCTGAGCAGCTCAAACCTCAGCCACTCAACACTGTGGAACTAGCCACTCTATTGAGGTAAGGCAGCTACTCATTCCATCTGTGCCTTCCCATCTGTAACAAAGAGTGACTTCTCGACTTCCTCTATTTTCTTTAACCTGCCTCTCCTACCTGTTTGGGTTTATCAATTCTGGCTTTGCCTGACATTTTTATCCTGTTACATTTCCCAAGACTCAGAAAACTGTGTTAAATCTTCTGGTAGATTTTCTACACCCCAAACTTTTAACCTTTCATAGGGTTTTCAAATGTTTGGGAAGGTGGTGTAATTATCAAGTTAGCAAGCTCTGCTGCTGGCTGCAGTCCTTAAAATTGATTGTTTCATCTGAATTAGGAAAATTTTCACCCAATGTTGGGATTGAAATTAAGACCTATTCCCTATTTTACTGCTTCCTGAAAATTGTTATAGTGCCCTCCCTAATTTCTTTTATCTGTAGTCTGTTGTAGGCACCTGAAACTGAGTGCGGAACCAGAATAAAGCTCTTACACTGGAAATATTTCAGGAATTCTGAGTTGTTTATTTCTTCGTGTTTTCTTTCACTATACTTTAGCCTCATGAAATTTTTGTTCCTGTTGAAGCTTCTCTAATTTCACAAATGAAATAGCACTCACAAATTCTCTTTGTCTGGTTGGTAATGCTTTGGGCTAGATAATAATAGGGTTGTTGTTGTTGTTATGTGCCGTGGAGTCGGTTCCGACTCATGGTGACCTTATACAGGGTTTCCAAGGCTGTAAATCTTTACAGGAGCAGAAAGCCTCATCTTTCTTCCATGAAACAGCTGGTAGTTTCGAACTGCTGACCCTGAGGTTATCAGCCCAACTTGTAACTACTACACTACCAGAGCTCCTTAATGATAGGGTACAACTTATTAATAACAATAGTGGTTGTATTTTGCAAATGGAAAAGAAAGGTCAGAGTTTTGATAGTCTAAAAATTCAGTCTAAATTAAAAGTGGTGCTCAAATTCCTAAAAGCTTATTGGGTCACCAGAGTAATGGTGAAGAAAATTAAAGGAGGAATTCACTTCCAAAAACATGAATTAAAAAGGAGCATCAGCTCAGCATCATACTAAAAATAGTAATGTAGTGAAAAAGTAATTAAGAGCAAGGAAATTATCCACAATGAGGTAGGTGATGGTATGTAAGGGAGTGTGCTACCCCTCAGAACCCAGAGGTTTCTTCTAGAAGGAAGGCACTAAAGCTATATCCGGGGAGAAGGGTCTAAAGGAATCGAGGGTGTTTAGTGTTCATCATGGAGACCTCGTCATAGGAAAGAAATCATTCACCTACTTGTACAGTTACTCATTCATGTAAGCCTGTATGAATTCAGTCGTTCCACTGCAGCTGACTGCTTATCATGAGTACCAGACTCTAGAGAGATTCCTGCAGACATTTGGAAGGTGGCCATCTTCTTGCTTCCTTACATCTCACACTCTTCATCTCCACTTTCTTCTTGGCCCAGTCAGTGTTATATGGGTGGCAGAAGCTGTGAAGTGATAAAGAATTACCAGAAAAATACTGATATATTGATATTACATTACAATACATGATAAGGTCAGTGACATCCCGTGATATGTTCAATAGGTTTTCCCTCGTGGATAGTGCCTAATTCAATATCCTGGAATAATTATAATGACACAATCCACTTCCAACCAATATGAGATCATAGGAACTGGATTCACACTCCCACCTGAAATGACTAAAACATCTGGTAAAATGTATTTGACTGCAGTTTTCAAGACATTGAACTTCAGGCAGTGAAGGACAATCATCTCTGAAAAGCAAATGAAGTGAGCCCTGGGAGTGCCTAGAAGGCTGCCACAGAGGGAGAAGGTGCTCAGGTGAAGGTGGTGGTTTCTGTGTCTTGAGAAAATGGGACTAGGATGCTGAGGAGAACAAAGAGTGACAGGAGTTCACAGGATAGAGTCCTGGAGAGGGGAGAGCCACACAGGGAAAGGATTCTGGAGCTCTCTAGGAGGTCCCTCTTGAGCCTTCAGATAAGTGCTGCCCAATGCATGCCTGTGAAGAAGCTCAAGTCCAGAGAAGACCCACCCAAAAAGATTTTCTGGCTGCTGATTGTGTGCCTTGGAGTTGGTTCTGACTCATAGCGGTCCTGTATAGGATTTCTGAGGCTTTAAGTCTTTATAGGAGCAGAAAATCTTTTATTTCCTTTGTGGGGCACCTGGTGGACTAGAACTGCTGAACTTGTGATAAACAGCCCAACGCATAACCACTACACCATCAGGGCTCCACCAAGAGAGATTCGAGGGAACCATTTGTACAGCTCATATAGGACTGGGAATATTTTCTGTTTCTTTCAGTCAGAATAGAAAATCTCATTATTTATTGGACATCAGGGAAAGTGCTCAGAAGGGGTTTGTCTCAGTTGTTGTTGTTGTTGTTAAGTGCCGTCGAGTCGGTTCCGACCCATAGCGACCCTGTACAGGGTTTCCGAGGGTGTAAATCTTTACGGGAGTAGAAAGCCTCATCTTTCTCCCGCGGAGCAGCTGGTAGTTTCGAACCGCTGACCTTAAGGTTCGCAGCCCGATTCGTAACCACAGTGGAGCATAATTGGCCTTAGACGAAATGCTAACAAAGCTTAAAAAGCACAACCTGAAAGTATCAAACTGTTTTCAAGTAATTGTATACCAGAACAAAGCTCAATACTATTTGTAGGGATACAAAAATATCCACCATATTTGTTGTTAGTGTTAAATACTGTGGAGTCAGTACTGACATTGCATAGTGGTTACAAATCGGGCTGCTAACCTCAGGGTCAACAGTTCGAAACTACCAGCTGTTCTGTGGAAGACAGATGAGGCTTTCTGCTCCCATAAAAATTTACAGACTCAGAAACCCTGTACAGGGTCACTATGAGTTGGAACTGACTTCACGGCATATAACCATTAACCACCATAGAGTTTCCAAGGAACAGTTGGTGGGTTTGAATTGCTGGCCTTGTGGTCTACAGTCAAACGCTAATCATGCATCGCCACACCAGGAGTCCAGAACTCCTATAACAAGGTAAAATTTCCAAAGATGACTTAGTCATACTGAGAAGCAGGTAACCATGAACCCATAATAAGGAGAAAAACAAATTTAAACTAACTCAGAAATGACATGTTGTTGTTGTTGTTGTTAAGTGCCTTCGAGTCGGTTCCGACCCATAGCGACCCTGTACAGGGTTTCCGACAAAATATGATGCCAGAATTGGCATTTATTTTGGCATACATAAAATACCCTCTTTCCTTTTAAATAATCATTTATGTTTTCAATGCAAGTTTACATAGCATTTAAATTTCCATTCAATAATTTCTACACAAATTATTCAATGGCATTAGTTACATTCTTTACAATGTGTGAACATTCTCATTATTTCCATTCTGGTGGTTCTGTCTCCATTGATCTAGTTTCCCTGCCTTCTTACAACCTCATCTGTGTTTTAAGGTAATTGTTGACTCATCTAGATGGTGATGGTCTCAAACAGATGATTTTTTAAAGGAGTGCAGTGCTCATGGATAGTATTCTTTATTTTCTAAGCCAATCTATTATTTAACTAAAAGGTGACCTCATGAGTTAGTTTTGGTTCAAAAGTTAAAGAGCATCTCAGGGCAATAGTCTTGGGGAGTCCACCAGTCCAGTAAGTCTGTTTTTGGTTTTTTTCCATAATAATTTGAGATAATATTTCGTATGTTTCTCCCTTCTATCATGATCTATCTATTGTGGCCAAAGATGTTTTTTTCTTATTACTTGAATCTCCTTTAAAGGTAATTAACTATGTTGTTGTTGTTAGGTTTTATTGAGTCATTATCAACTTATAGCGGCCTTATGCACAGCAGAACGAAGCACTGCCCAGTCCTGGGCCAACCTCACTATTATTGCCACACTTGAGCCCATTGATGCTGTCACTTTGCCAGTTCATCTCACTGGGGGTCTTCCTCTTTTACTCTGACCCTCCACCTTACCAAACATGATATCCTTCTCTGGCAACTGGTCCCGCCTGACAGTATGTCCGAAGTATGAGAGATGAAGCTTGGTCATCCTGGCTTCCAAGGAGCACTCTAGCTGCACTTCTTCCAACACAGATCTGTTGGTTTTCTTGGCAGCTCAGGGCACTTTCAAT